ACACACACACACACACACACACACACACACACACACACACACACACACACACACACACACATTGTGTTTGACAGTTATGTGAGCAGCGACTGCATCCCACTCCTCCAGGGTCAGCCGTGCCGCTGCTGTCACATGACTACACTTGACATGTGTACAAAAAGCTCCACATCTGCCACCTGTCAGGTGTTGCCATGGCAGCTAGATTCCACACATGAGCAGGCTTCAGTCTGACAGCTCACTCAMCTGCTGAAATACTGGGTAAATCGTTGTAATCGAGCCGACTCCAAAGGTTAATCAGTCATACAGTCCGTTGTAAAAGTACCCCCCCCCCCTTTCTTGGTTATCTTTTTATTTTGTTGCCTTACAGCATCGACTGTCACATTCTGTAGGTGCAACTACTGAACAGTGATAAAAGAGGAGATGAAAGTGTTCAGTTTTAATGAGGCGTTCAGCTGGGTGCGTTACATCCATGGATGTTTCTGAACCCTMAAAGTGATGAAGCTTAGTCTAAACAACTGAATCCAGCTAGGGGTGTCCCAATACCAGTTTTGATCAAACCGAGTACAAGTAGGAGTACTTCAGTTTGGGTACTCGCTAGTACTGAGTACRGATACAAATTACTTGCCAAGTCAAACCTTAAACGTTATACAATGACTTTAAAAACCCATTTCTTTMATTTGGAACAAAGGTCTCTCTCTCTTCTTATAGGCCAACACCTCCGGCTGGATCAAATCAAATACAGCAGGATGTATATTGTTACAAACATTTTTAAATAAATAAAAATACTTTTGAAAATTAATTAAAAAATGTCTTTGACTTGTATAGTTTCCTTAAACATAGAACTGACAAGCCTTTCACTTGAAATGTAAACTGTAACACTTTTAATAGAGTATRGAATCAAGTATCGATCCCGGTATGTGTATTGGTCCCCAGTTTCAGGGCATTGCGAATGAGTACTTGTAAAAAGGCTAGTATCCAGCCCAATATTGATATCAGCATCAGGACACCAGAAATTCTAATATGTCTCAATTAAATTGCAGAAGGACCTGCTTCCAATCAGAAGCTCTGCCCCCCATTGTTACTTCATGTGTCCAACCTGCAAGTTCTTGTCAGTTATATGTTCACACTGCAGGCAAATGCCACCCAAATATGATTATTTTGCCRCAAGCGACCCATATCTGATTTTTTATGACAGTCTGAACTCAACAAATCAATTTTTTCAAATCCGACCCAGACCTTTTCAGTATGTGGTACTGAATCTGATACATATCTGATGTTTTTCAAAGCGACTGCAGTGTGAATGGTCATGTCACATTCCACCCAACATTTTCATCAGTGAGGTGGGGGTGAAGGATCCATAATGGTGCGTTCACACCAAACGCGATTTCAGCATCAGGAGCATCAGGTTTACATACAAAGTCTATGGTGGACGCGCTTCAAGCAGCGTCGGGAAGGGCTGCGGCTCCTCAGGCGCGATTAGAGCAGCGCGATTTGAACGATTTGAACGATCTGAGCGTTCGACGCGCTGAGGCGCAAATCGCTGAAGTTAGAAAATCTGAACTTTTGCAGCTCGACGCGCCGCATCAACCAATCAGAGAGAGACTCCACTGTGTGACGTAGTGACATATTTCCCGACGGGACAGTTTACTGAGTGATGTCCACTAACCTGAAACAGATGGAGAGGAGCTCTTTAGCTGAAATCGAGTGCCTGCAGTCGGTGTCCTGACAGGAGATATACTCACCAATGCGTGGCAGCGACTCATCAGACTGGACTCGGGAAAAAAATAGTCCTGAAAGCGAGCTGTGAGCCTCTCCCGCAGCTCCTGGGTGATGAAACTCAGAATGTCTCTGAATTATCTGGTGAATTAATTATGAATTAATTATCTGATGAACATGACATGCTCTTGCTCTCTGTAAATAAAGCAAAGCCACTTCCTCGTCCGACATTAAACAGAGCCCGACAGAGGAGGGAGGGGCGGGGAGGCTCTTCCCGTGCAGCGCTTCAAGAGCTGACCTGCTCTGACCTCAAAGTGCACAAGCTTCAAACTTGAAGCGTTGGATGCGATTTTGAAGCTGAAATCGCGTTGTGTGAACGCAGCATAAGACACTAACCTTGAGTCATGCTGTTTAAATCTGTAGCTCCACATGTCTTCGGCTGCAGAACAGAAGTCCAGTTACTTCATCTTTCTTTCTTTTCATTTTCCATTTCCTGGTGTGACTGAGAATCCGCAGAAACCTGATAGGAACGTCCAACTTCGGTTGCGAACCGTATCGATCCTAAAGTTCAATAATTTACTTATAGCACTTCATTACAAAAATAAAATGCTGCACCAGAGCATCCAGTCAGAGGCAGCTTTCAGATATAAACACTGAACTAAACAAGCTTGTCAGATAATCGCCTCTGAGTGAACAGCAACTTCAGAATTGATATGCAACAAGTAGCATGTTTAGCTAACTCTGTAAACAAAGAGCCACATGAATGTGACGTCACGTCTTTTCTGCGCACGCAGGTCACATCAGTGCCATGGAGAGTTCACACTGGAGTCTGAGGGTGGTCACATTTAAAATGTAATGTGAACATTCATGACAAAATATTCTGATTTAAAAAAATCAGAATTGAGCATTAAGACCTGCAGTGTGAACATAGTCATAGTCTGATTCCATCACTCCCAAGAACAGGAGACCTACACTCTGCACAGCCAGACAGACCTGTAACATATCACTGGAGAATGAACATTTGCCCTATTTTAACCAGCTTTATCAGGAGTGCATAAGAGTAAATACTGATTTGTCTTTCTCATCGCTTCAGTTCTTGGTTAAAAACCACCTTTTGAACCAGATGTTTTCAGTATTCAAGTAAAAGAAACAGTGAATGGTCACAGTTAGCTGTATTTTCTTGTACTATTTCTCACAAGGGCTGTACGATGGCTCAGTTTGTAGAACTGTTACCACTTAGTGCGATCAAATCCTGGCCGGGTTCCTTTCTTGATAGAGTTTGCATGTTCTCTCCATGCATATGTGGGTTTTCTCTGGGCACTCCAGTTTCCTCRCAGGCGAAGAACTCGAAATTGTCCCTGGGTGTGAGTGAGAGAATGAATGGTTGTTTGTCTCCATATGATCCTGTGATTGACTTGCGACCAATCCGGGGTGTACAGTGACTGCGGTACATGTGCCTGAAACAAAGAAAAGGGTAAAAGATGGATGGATGGATGGATGGATGGATGGATGGATGGATGGATGGATGGATGGATGGATGGATACTTCTCACAATCATTAGGTTGGGTGAGAAGAAAACCAGACCTTACTGACCTTGCCTCTGTGGTAATGATCCACTTTTCCATCCAGATCTCCAGACTGCTCGAAGATGACAAGCAAACACTTTCAAGAATTATTTGTAGTCAAACTTATTACATCAAAGAAAATACTTATTTTTCATCATCTGAACCGGATCTAACCTTCACTGAGGATGGTTTYTTTAGGAGTATTTCCTGTCAACAATTTGTCTCCTTTCACTATTAATTACATTTCATCTGTCCTAAAGGTTATTTCACTGCTCAGGAAGAACATGACAGCTCATTAATAAAAGAAAGACAGTTCTGTTTACTTTTTCCATCATAAAGATAAGAAAACTGACAGGCATCTCATAAAACCAACATCTTAGCGGTTTAGAGTGGCACACGTGTGCAATCCCATTAACGCTGATCCCTCCAGCTGGAGCCTGACCTGCTGGAATCCCAGTCAGATACACACCTGCTTTCAGAAAAGACATCCCTATTTCACCTTCCTGCTTTACCCATTTTCAACTGATGTTATCTTACATTATTTATCAAATCTGTAAGTTATTAACGCATATTTTTCTACTCGAGCTAAAAATGYCTGCATCAGTCAACTTAAACTCTAGTGTGTGTTTTGGCATCAAACCAGCAGTCGATCTGCTCTGAAGTTGGAACTCAGCCGGTTATGTTCTGAATGACTAATGTTGGACCCACAGAACTGCAGGAGACTGGTTCCACCATGTTGAACATAATAAGCTAAAGCGGACTTTTTTCTATGTATTTTCCTGTATCACTGCTAAAGACCAAGTAGCACCTCATCAAGGCACAGTGTTGGAAGAGGTGCTCTATGGTTTAGTAGTCTCGTGTGCAGTTTGAATCTTTCTAATTATCACAAATGCCTAATGAAAATATTGCTCATTAGATGGTGATGCATAGCCTGGTTAAAAACAAGCCCCTTGTTCTAAGCTTTGCTTCGTACAGAGGGACAAAACCCTTGGCAGATGAGAAACGGTTGCTTGCTGGAGGCGTGGACTCACTTTACCCTTTACCCAATCACTAATGTTTGTAGTGGGCTAACTCAATAGAGTTTAATATTCAGCCTACCCACCTCCTTTACTATTAACAAAGCCAACTGGAAAATTAGACCTTTACAGAACCCGTTGAGAGTAGGGCCTTGACATCTTTGCCAGTAATAAAATGTCTTAAACATTCCTCTTGTTCCAACTTTTATTGCTCAGTATTTGGGAGTTTTGTCAACATGGACTGAATGGCTTCACTCATTTCCTCCGCTGCCATRGCTAAACTACAAGCAGACTAAAACAGTGCAGAAAATGGACCYCATCGTTCAAAACTCCTCCTTCTGTTCGCTGATTGGCCTGATTGAAATCCTACCAGATAAATGGGAGAAAGCACAGARAGAGCAATGAAGAGAGATTAGAATTGAGTGGAATTGCATAGGAAGGCAATGGCCAGGCTGGGTGATGCATCGATTCAGACTGAACTTTTTCAGGGGTTATATCACAATGCACATACCCTTTATCATACAAAAACAAAACCTGAAAATACTAAATAAAAATTACAATAAAGCTAAATAAAAAATACTTTCACAGCACAGAGTAATTTACCAACCTCATTTWCTGCTTTCATGTCATTGCAGGCAAGAAGAACTCAATTCTGATGCACAAAGTTCAGCACGACCTTAATTCTGGTGTTTTCAACAATCATGAGAATGAGATGATCCAGGAAATTGTCAAATACGATCGGGAGATGGTTCAGCAGGTGGACGCGCCGCGGCCGAGGGCCATGTCCATGTCATCTGCTCTCCCCGGTGGGATCTTTTCTCCTCCAGCTTCTTCCACTCAAGACTCTGCGATCGCCACTCTGCAGCAGGCTGTGGCCATGAACTTTTGTGCCCCCATGCAGGGGAACTCAATGGGGACGGGGATGCTGCAATCTCCAAGGATGGTGAGAAGGTTCCAGGTGATGCAGAGTGTATCCAGCCCCGTCTCTGCCTCTCCTCTACAGTCCCAGCTCCTTGCTTCCAGTGCCTTTGTTCCAGTCTTGGCCAGCCCCCCTGTCCAGAGCCCACTGGTAGCTGGAGGACGATCATTCCAGTATGGATCCAGCGCCCTGGCTGGCCCCATCTCAGGCTCCCAGCTCTCCCTAGTRCAGCAGCACATAGCCAGCCCCGCACATCGGCCCAGTACACACAAGAGCACCCATTCTTTGCAGCTGGGCAGCCTGAGCCAAGACGTCAGGGCACTGTCAGCCTCCCAGCCTTCACTGCCTCACGACGGGACACAGCCAGGTGTCCCCAGTCCACCCCAGTCSACACGAGTTTCCTCCACTTCCATTGGACCTCCTCAGACCCCGTTAGGTCCCACGGGCGTTCGGAGCGCTATTCCGCACAGGGTGGTTCTCTCCCACCAAATGTCAGCCGGGGCGTTTCCTGTAGCATCTCTGCCTGGTTCTGTACATGGTTACACASCCGGCGCAGGACTGGCAGTCGGGGGGTTGGGTCAAGGGGACATGGGACCACCTAAGAAGGACTCCATAGTGAGCCTTCCTGAGACAGAACACATCAAAGTCCGAGCCCGGCTATCGTCAAACTTGTGATCTTTAAYCAAACTGTGCTGGGTGAGGGACTCGGTGCAGGGACTTGTTCCTCTGCTCCTATTTTCCCCAGTCTGACTATCTGAATGTATGAARTGTGACGAGCAGGAAGACTCTGAGACCAGACCGGCTGAACCTCCACTATGAGGTGTTTTATCCTCACAGACGTAGTTGCACAAGTATGTAGTGAAGTAGCTCCTTTCACATGGTCAACAACATATGATTTACTTTTCTCTCATTTACCTCATTTAATGCAGACTTGGGTTCAGAGGAGACAAAAAGATATTCAGGGACCTGCTGCAGAAATCTGAGATTGGAACATTTTTMTGTGTGTTTTAAGTTTTGTTTTCATGAAGCTCTAGCTGCTACAAAGGATCTTTTTTAATCAGTCCAATAACTATATGGGTAAGCACAAAATAAAAAGGGATGATGTAATTTTGAGACCGCTCCCTCTTTTCATAACATGGTGTATGAAGCCATATTTCCACAGATTCTTAATAGGAAAGATTCATGGAAAGCATAAGAAATATTCTGTTTCTTTATAAATACAGAAATAAATATGTGGACCATAGACAACAGATTTTTTTACACACTGGAATGGTGATCTCCACTCAGGCTATTTTTAGAACATTAGTCTTGTGACTACGTCCGCTTGACTCCGGTGCGCTTACAAACTCTGCTAGCGGCTCCATTGGTTTCAGTCACAGTGTGCTGGTTTAGCTGTGATAAAACCCAAATAAATTTGTCAAAACAGCATCAAACTCCACCTGGAGGACCACAAAACTTTGTGCTATGGTTCTACAGCCATCATCCCCACATGGAAGGAGCATTTCTTGTCACCTTTCCCAAGCTAAGATGCTAACAGCTGGATTTGAGCGGTGTAACGAGCAGAGTTTGACCAGAAAAAAGTGCAACCARGGACTTATGTCTGCTCCAAAACTTTCATCAGAGCTAAAAGACCAACACAGGATCACCCTGATTCTATCCCTGCACTTTCTATCCCTCAGCCTGTACAGGAAACCTTATTGGCTTTGTCTCGATTCAGGGGCGGCATCCTCYTGAGAGCGCATTTAAGGAATGCTGCTCATAAACTTTCAAAAACCGAGGATGCATCCATGTATCCTCACTGGTTGAGGATATGCCAGGATTCAATGTGCGGTCAGCAAACTGAACAGAGAAACAAAGGCGGTGGAGTTTTTATTTTTTTTAACGACTCAGCATAGTTTGGAAATTCATCACGGTCCGAATAATTTATTTTTAAAAGTAAGTTATCTTAYGAAATGCTACAATAAGATGTTAAATACAAAAATGCAACCAGAAGGACTGATACTGTAGCTAAACCCAAATTATTAACGTTTTTTATATTTATTTACACGTAAAGTTTWAACTGTGAAGTTATTCTTCCAGTGAAAKGATTTGTAAATACATGTCCCAACGCATTTTCAGTCTAAWATGAAACTGATCACTATTGTAACSGGGTTGCAAATGATCACGTAAACCTTTCACTGCACGTTRAAGCTGCCAACCCAGACTGGGAAGGACGTGACCCACGTGGAGATCACCATTACAGCTTGATCAGTTTGACTTTACAAAATTAAAACTTGTTCACTTTTAAATTTAAARGGAAAGTATTAGCTTAATGTAGCTGCTTGTTTAGTCTCAAAAGGAAGAATCTTTGGAACAGAGAAAACTTTTTTTAAACCAAAAATAGTTCTGAACAATATGCAAATTTATCAGTTAGGAGCTAGSAGCTAACTCATGACTCGTCAGAAAAATGAAATGCAGCTAATGTTGCTCACGTCTACATGTACCAAGCATTCACGTTTCACTGGTAAACAAGCCTAAACCAACCTGTCCTCAGATTTTTTTTAAGTACGAGAATTAAAAACCCACACTTTAACTTGAATTCACTGCCAGTTAATTACACCCAGTATGCAGGTTTAATAGTAAATCGCCCGTCATCAAAACTCCTTGTTGGGTAAAGCAGCTCAAAGCCAAAGTTACTTTAGACAAACAATGAAACTCCAGACGAGCTCAACCAGTCGAGAACAGCTCAGGTTTGGTGAGCAGCCAAGACACTTTGTACTGATTATTGCAGCGTGCCTCCATTATTGATGCCTCAGTCAGAGGCGCTGATTTGTGTCCAGAAGCATTTAGGAAGCAGGGGCGACCCTTTTCTCCTGGACCTGGCATCACCTCGTCTCACTAAAGCCTGAATCATTACCGGGTAATGAGAGTGAAAATTGGAATCCCTCGGGCCTGTTTGGGTCCCTTATTATCATCCTGCAGCCAGATTTCATTATACAGTGCTATTATACAGAATGAGCTTCTTCTCCTATTATATCTTTGCATTTTTATTTTGCTTGGTTTGCTGTTAACCCACCTTGAAAGTTTGAAAGTTGAGAGGTTCAAAGTATTTTTAGACAGTGTTGTTTTTGGTTTTGAATTTTTCCCTCTGGACCTCATTTTGCCTCTGAAACAATTATTAGAAGCTCGTTATGGAACTAGTGTTTACTCCATGTAATGTTTAGGGGGAATTGTTGTGCAGTTAATGACATTAGTTTTTGGGTTCTTTAGAACTTAGCTGAGGGTGGAATATAAGGAATATAAGGAAAAGGACTAACAGGAGAAGMTTTTATGGTCAGTATCTAAATTCAAATCAGCAAACATTTATGTTATTTTTAATGGTTTGAAAATGAAAATCAATAACTTTAATCTGAACAAAACCAAAGTTCAAAATCCAAAAAATAGTTTTTTGTTTTTTCACATCCTTTAAAGGTTCTCAACAAACTGAAACCAAATCAAAACGCCAAATGCATTCAGTCATTTTCTCTGAATGTGATGTTTGACATGGAGCAATAACCATTTAAAAACAGTAAAGTTAACTTTTATGCAGATGATGTTCAGTTGTAATTTGTTGTGTCCATAAAGATGCAATATTTTGATTTTTGATGGATTTTTTTCCCCAAATTTCTTTGCATTTCTGTTTCATGTATGTTTTTGTAAGCAGATATTCCCAACTAAAACTGAACTGACTGAGATGATTATTTTAATGTGTAAAAATAAACAAGACTGTTTATTTATGTAGCCTAGTTCACAATAAATGTACACTTACTATAGAAGAATTCAGTCTGACAGAATGCAGATTATCATTTGCTATAAACTGATACTTGAAKATATTAATTAAAAATGAAGAAATCCATTTTTGTTGCAGATGGATCACTTCTGTTTACTTTTGATTTCTTTCTGGTTTTTTCTTGCCTCCTTTTTCAGATCAAGACCAAACACTTAACACTGCTCCCTGATTTATTTTTATTTATTTTTAACTCAAGCAATTAAAAAAAAACTATTTTTTCCTCTTTGTGCCACTTGACAAATATAACCAGAGGACTATAAATGTTACAGCATGTCAGCTGTTGAACGTTTTCCTTAAAGCCACACATCTTCATGCATGACTGCAGGAWCATCCATGGAAATATGTGCAGCTGCTTTTATTTTCAAATGARAAATTTACCTTTTTAAACCGCAGTTTTTAACAAAAACATTGATTCCAAAAGTCAAAACTAAAGTCCTAGTAAGTTAATGCTAAGATTGTGTGTATTATTATGATTTGATTGCTTTTTAGGTTTTTACTTTCTAGTAATATTGTAAAAAAGCTTGTTTATAGAAGCAGATTCTGCCTCAGCCTGCTGTTAGACATGATGTTAATCTTTATGTTTCTGACCTGCTGAGATGTCTAAATGAGAAACAAACATGTTTATTGCAAGACTTAAGATTGGGGCATATAAAAATGTTTGTCTCTCCTCCATTAGTTCACTCAAACACCATTTATCCAGGTCATGTCCTTCTACAAACTCAGAAGTATCAATAATTCAGCAGAACAGCGCTCTGCATTCCTGACAGTGATGTCCTCTACACCAACACACAGCCTTAGTCTGAACACGAAGCACTCATGGGGCCATGTTTTACGTGAAAGTAGGTTTTGTCCAGATTAGATCAGAAATGTGTGAATCTTCTTACCAAGTGATCCACAGATGATCTGAACATGCAAGTAAAACCAGCAGATAAATGTAAAAACTAATTTGGCTCTTTAAAGATATCTGTGCATGCACATTATTATTATTATTATTATTATTATTATT